CAGAATTTTGGACTGAAGTATGAAAATGTATGTTTACTGAAGTATGTTTATGTCACACCCGCAAGGTGTGACAATTATTATTTTTTTTTTAAAAAAGAAAATAAATAAAATACTTGCAGATTTGTATTAATGTCTATTTTAGTGGTCAACATAGAAATTCATAAGACCAATGCATTAAAATATTTTATCTAATGGACAACTTAGTTTGTGTCATATCTGCATCTTTGGACGTTAAGTAAAATAGTTATTCGGAGTTTTTTCTTTTTCCATGCATACTTAAAAATGTTACTTTTCCCAGTGACAAATTTAGAAATTTTTTTTTACTTTTCCCAGTGACAAATTTAGAAAAAAAGAATTTCACTTTTTCCAGTGACAAATTTGGAAAAAAAAATTACTTTTACCAGTGACAAATTACATTTCAATAGCATTTAAGCCTTTGTAAAAGAGAAAATTATTATTTTTTTTATTGATTCGGGTCCCTGTTTGATGATTGCATTGATTAATTGTATTTTGTGGTCAGAAAATAATTATTTTATTGTGACACTGCTTATAAACAGTTTTGAAATACATATATGAGGGTGAAATTTCATAATTTAAATAGTTAAGTGGCAACCATTTTTAATTAGGAGCATCATTTTTTCCAGGAAAAAAAAAGAGTTTTCATGAAAACAATAATTTTCAATTAAGTTTATGAAAAACTAGTTCTACTATTTTTGTAATTTTTTATTATATCAATACAAGAAAAAAACAATTCTTTTAAGTGAAAGAGACGAAGATCTAAAATTATTCAACTAATTTTATGCATTAAGGGAAAATTAGTTAAGTGATTTTTGAAAACAAAATATAATGATTTCAGGAACTACTTTATTTTATTTTACTTTTAACGGGATGAAAACATGTCGTTCTGTGGTGCTAGTGTTTTTATTAAAAGAGTGTGGTGTTTTTGGGAGCTAATATTGTTTGTCCCTGTAAAGAGCTAACCTAGCGATTCGTTTGGGGCAGTGACGGTGACTATGGTTACGAGGTTAAATTATTACGAGTAGGGCATTATTTAAGACAGGTTTTGGATTGGATTGGGGAGAGCAAGGAAATCAGGGGAAAAAGAAGATCCCCTCTTTGAAATGCGCTATTTCTTCTTTCCATAGCATCTGACAGCTTAAGACTTCGTGGCAAGGGGAGTTCTTTCTTTAGACAAACTATATGTTGTTGCGAGGGAACGCTGTAGGGACAAACTTAGCGCAATATATTTTTTACAAAAGTCGATCTCAAATATGAATATCTAAAATCTATATTTCGATACTCTAAAATGAAAAAATTAAATCTGTAAACGTATTTCTCGGGAAAAAAAATCATATTTTAATTAAACAGTGAGAAATGATACATGAGTTACGTAAAATAAATGCAAATTGAATTCAAATTTTTATTATTTTGCTGAAATACATCTTAAGAAACACTTTGCATAAATCCTAAAAAAGGGGGAAAATGACTGTTTTTGTAAAATTGATCCTATCAATGAGTCGTGGTATTCACAAATGGCAGAAAAAAATAGTTTCTTCTGTCTGGTTTGCGGGTCGTTCTAAAGCAAGCATGAAATATATAGTTCGAGTATCTTCTAGAAACCGCAACAGTATCTAGAAAAAAATAATTCTAGAATCTGAAGTAATCATTTTTTCAAATATCAAATATTTTTTACCTGAGATATGATTACGTTCAAAGAACAGTCGAATTAGGAGGTAATGCTAGGGATTTAATTCTGTGATTATTGTATGAATTCACGTGAAACGATTCTAATAACATGTATGTCAACATTTGTTAGCATTGTAAGAAATTTTGGAGAGTTTATAATATTGTTCAAATTTGTTAGAATCTTAATAGGTTGCTAAGTCGAAATATATTATTTTATTCCTCAAATTTGATTGCTATTAATCATCTTAAATCGAAATATGGTTATATCTTATCGAAGATGCAGGAAATTGCACCATATTACCGATACCGATATTATGATTCAAGGTCCCACATTATGGTTCAATGTAAAGATGTTATGGTTTAAAGATTTTTCTGAGGAAGGGTTTTCAAACGTAGTGAAAATGTAAGAGCGTTATTTTTACTACACTGTAAAATATTTGTTGTAAAGCCAACAGTTTCGGTTTTGAGATAAACTAAAATTTTCTCAAGTTATATTTTTACATACTTTTTCGTTGTTATTGTTTTTTTAATTAATAAATTTTTGTGTGTCTTGTTTATTGACTTGACATATTTTCACACGCATTATAATCAATTTAATAGCTTCATTGAAAAACAATTTGTTCAGAAAAGCAAGCACATTTTTAGTAATATATTCGCCTCATTTTATTTGAAGAACTGTTATTTTGTAAATTTTATAAGACAGTTTGGTATTTAAAAATGTGATTGCAAATAAAATATAAAACTGGTGCGAATTCATGTTTAAATATAAAGCTGTTATAAATACGTTTTTATGTACCGATCTATAGTTATTGTGCAAAATATTCTATAAATTGACTAATGTTAGAAAGAATTAGAGAGAATATTACCTGATTAAAAACTTCATTCACTTAAAAAAATACAAAAATATTAAACAACAGTCGTTATGTTTGAAGCGTTCAAAAACAAGCTCCCATTTTCAAAACTTGCCAGACGTGAATTGAAAAGAAACTAAAAGGATTTGAAGCATAAAACGGAAAATTGTCAAGGAAAAATGGAAAAATAAAGGTGTGAAACAAAACTAGAAAAAATCAGAGTAGCTTGAGGAAGAAAAATATATGAAAAACAAAACAAGAAGAAACAGAGTGGCCGAGAGGAGCGTATCAGGGTAAAATGCATTCCCTGCGCTCCGGAGAGGTGGTGAGGAACTAGTGTCGTTAACAAAGGTATCAACATTCATAAGAATAAAAAAGGATTCCAGGGCAATTTTGGGCATTTTGCTAAAGCTTTTTAAGTGAATTAAATTTTGCACGCAATTATGAATAAATGAATACAAAAAAAATAATACATACATTTTGCAGACAATTGTAAAATTCGCTTATCGAAAGATAATTCCATGTAAAAATTATTTTTAATAATTATTTTTTATCGTTTTATTTAATAATAGGAAGAAAAATTTTGAATTGCAAGGTTTAAAAATTTTTACATTACTTTCACAAGAGTAACTTTATTAGGCAAAATACAAAATTTTAACGAAATCCGTTGAGAAATCAAATTTTATGAAATTCATTAGATTTCTCAGGAACTATTGAACTGATTTCGTTCAAATTTTGCATTTTGTCTTAAGCGATTGCACTCTTTAAAATTATGTGAAAACTCGTCACGAATTGTTAAATTTTTGGTTTACAAATAGGAGTTTCTTCTCAGAAAGAAATGAGGGCGGGATATTTTTATTTAAATGTTTGATAGCAAATATTACATCTTTCAATAAAGGACTATTTTTAAGAGAGTCCGCGTAAACAAAATGTACTTTTAAATAATTTATTACGAGCAATTAACATAGCTCGTATTTGTCGCAAAACAAACGAAAACAAGTGCATACTATTTGCGAATATGATAAATGTATATGTTCCTCAACCAATAAATTATTCATTCATTTATGTGTAAGGGGGAATAGGTCAAATCAATCATTTATGCTTAAATTACTGATTTTGATTTATCAGAAAACGCATGAAACTAGTTGCCAACAGTTGTCAAGCAAACTGAATGAAAATAAAAATAGGCTATTTTTTTTTGTTTTAAAAATTTCGATTCGAGAACTTATGATTTTTTCAATCCGATTCAGTAGCTTCTATTGTTTGAAGTGAAGTAAGAGAAGTTGCCAAAAATAGTTACATTTTAAACATTAATGCTTAGTAAAAATTTAGTGCAATTTTAACAATGGAATTATTGTGGTCATAAAATTGTTTATTTCCTCTATTGTCACTTAAAAGCACCTAAAAGGTAATCCCAATCTATGTTTATTTTAATAAATGACAATTTGTAATTATGAATTGTTAAAATTAAAAAAAAATCTGTTAAAAAGTACTTCTACTGTTTATTTAGTTAATTAGGTTGCTTAAGTCTCTTGTCAAAGATTCATTAAAATAATACATAGGGTAAGCAACATTGTAAAAAATTTTCTAAATTTCTTACTATTGAAATTTAATAACTATTGCCTGAAAGAAATGAAACTTAATTAAAGAAATGAAACTAACATAGAACACATGACATGAAACTAACTTAATTAAAGAATGAATAGAATCTAGAATTCTACTGTGTATTATTTTAAATTCAGTACCCAAATAAGTGAAGAATTTTCCCACATTATCTCACTTAATATGGATGACAGACTATAACCTCACTGAGTCCCTGTTGTTGTAAAAAAGAAATCTAAAGTGAATAGTAAAAATTGTAATAAGGATATTCATGAATGACAATATCTCCTGCACTACAAACAATTACACACATTGGATACATCATCCATTATACCGTAAAACTCATTTCAACCTTAAAATATTGTGACGTAATTTTTACAGTAATATTTCTTTAATTAGAGTCATTCAGTGATTTTACGTTAATTATAACTGTAGAAATTATGATATATCAGCTTTTTTTTGCTTCGGTGAAAATAAATTTTACGGTAAAAAGTAGTGGCACCCTGAATGATTTTTACTGTTATTTAATCCAGAATTCTGCTGTGTATTATTTTAAACAATATATAACAATAGTAGCGTTTGAAAGAAAAAATTAAGAATTTCACAGTAAAAACTTTACTTCTTAACAATCAAATGTACGTATCTGCATATAAAAATGTAATCTGTTTTAGAGGATTATTTAATTCAAACTAGTGTTTTTCTTCCCTACTATAAACATTTAACTTAATATGGACGTTTTGTTTTTTAAAAAAAAATGAATAATATAAGAGAAATAAATCAAAATATTGACGCAACAGTTTATGGGAGAACTGTTTGTTCCCCATAACAGTTTAGTTCAAAAAACAAAAAGATTTTTCTTACCAGATGGTGACGAATGCTTGATTCTGGAGAATAGTTTGGAATACAGCCGGTTTTTAAGATGCTTTTGGAAATATTGCGCATGTGCTGTTACATATATTGATTTGTGCTTGAATCGAATAGTATCTCATGTACTGAGATCAGAACGTGGCACAAAAATATATATATTTGACTGAAGACATATGTGTTTTAAATTTTATTCTCCAAAAACATTTTGTTTTTCTTTTTTAAATTTTCAAGAGCAACTTCTTATTTATTCATGTAAAAGATTTTAAGTCAAGAAATATACCAAGAATTTCAATTTTATGTGTTTTCAGAAAGATACTGGGAAAAAAGTAGGAGACTTAATTTTGTTTTCGATCTCGTATGGCTTGAGGCGAAAGAAATTACATAACATGTTTTTTTTTTAAATCTATTAAAAGCGAATTATTATGTAATTCGGTTATCAAACGAATGTTATGAATTATAAATATATTTAATTGTGTTAAAGGAGAAGAATTATAGGTATTATTTTAAAGTAACATAAATTCTAAAATAGCATAATTCCTTTTTCAAAAAAGAATTTTTTATACATGTATTTATATATTTTTTAAAACATATCTTTTATTTTCATAATTTTTAAAAATAATTAAAATAAATATTAAAAATTCAAAATATAAAGAAATTGGAAGTAAGAAATTGATGATCTCACTTGAAATTTACGAACATTACATTAGTATCTCAAATTATTTACGACATTCAAATGCAATTTATCCATGACACTGAAATTCATTTTTTCCACAGCTTTTTGTTATTCTGCCATTTTTTTTTTCATGTATTTACAATTTTTAGAATTTTCTTTTACTTTAATTGAATACATATTTTTAATATGTTTAATTTTTTAATCTGTAAATATTTGTTGTGTAATCCTGAGTTATTTTTTAATGTTCTGAACAGTTTTTGAGAACCAAAACATTAAAAGATGCATAGTTTTTTTTCCCTTTTTTATCCTTTGGAAACTATTTAAATAAAAAGAAAATTAAATTTTCTTTCACTTTTTAATTTTTTAATTTTTACTAAATGAAAAAAATTATAAATAGGGTTTAATGACTCAAGGTTGTAGATATAATCGAGTTACTTCACTTATCAACAGAATCCCTTTCAACGAGCTTTTTTTTTTTTNTTTTTTTTTTTTTTTTTTTTTTTTTTTTTTGGTTCCAATTAAGTTTGAATTTTCAAATGGAATCATCATATGAATTGTCAAAATTTCAGTTAGTTATTTCATTTCAAGGTTCGTAAAAATAAAATATAGCGTTTCTGGCAATGCTTGCATCAATGCTGCGTCAATGGGCATCAACTCGTCTGATGAGGTAAGTAAGTACTTTATTTACGTCGCACTAGATCTCCACAATGGGCTATTGGCGACGGTCTGGGAAACATCCCCAAGTAAGATCTGCAGAGGGGATGGCTCCCCTGTTTTGACTAGACTGATGAGAGGCAAGGAAAGTATTTTGCAGCATTATAAAAATTAAAAAGTATATTTCCGGAATTAAATTCTTAAATAATTTATTAAAATTTTAAAATATAGTTTTTTACGTTTTTAGAAATTAATTTACTTTTTTAAAATTTAAAAAATAAATATCTCAACTAAAAAATTCGCCCAAAAATTAAATAAAAAATTTGTCATTAACTATGAAAATCAAGTCTAATACGTCTGATTTTTAATGAAAATATAATAATAATGTGCAGATTTATTTAATAAAAATAATATGTGTTATAGCTTATTAGTTAAAAAGTGACGAACAACAACTTTTGTACTGATCCTATTGTACTGATGAATATCCATTACACTAATGGTGAGGGACTTGATGTGGATACTGCTTTAATGAAAATTCATCATTTGGTAACAGAGAACAAACTTAAACTCTGCGAAAACTGGTAGATACCGTAGTACATGACTGGGTATGCCCAAATAGTTTATACATTTGGCTAACAAGGGCCAATAAAGAAGTTTAAATAACAAGAAAGATGATTTTGTATAACTTTCAAATGTTACTTTGAATTTTTTACAGACCTGTATACTGATCCGTATGTGGTTTCGGGTAACAGTTGCGGATTGGTTGGTAAAATTTTTCTTCGTTTTACATTCTAGTGCTGGTTTTTTATATCGTTGCACACACAGTTCGAGGACCTTGCCTTAAATATACTACAAAAATGTATTTTCACTAAATAAACATAACAGTTTTTTTTAAAGGATTTGAATTCTTGATTCTCACAATTCGCAATGGTCCCAATAATTTAGGTGTGAGATCAGTCAGGAATTTGAACCCCTAACGTTAATTTCACTTTTTGCATAGTGTGCTTTATCTCATGAGCGAACTGAAATTTGTTTCTTCATTAAAGTATCGTCTTCTCTAATTAGTTAGCGTATTTAGTAAGGCTCTCAAATCATTAAGTTTGTGTTTTACTTCGTGAAAATTTGACCATTACATTAAAGTTATTCAGGGTGTTCACTTTTTTGCACACTATCCGCTCCTTAATGCGACATTACATTAAGTGACTTAAGAATACTACTTTTTTAATAGGGATCCATAATTTGTTCTTAGCATCGAATTTTAGATCAAGCGGCATAACAAACTTGAAAATTGTGAAGACGTAGTAAGTACTTTTATTCAATTGAAGTATTACAATGTCACTCTGAGAAGAAAAAAAAGTATGGCCAAAACTACTACGGTTAAAATTTACCGTGTTTCTGGCTCTATGCGAACACCAAAAGATCGGAAATGTTTTCGGAAACGCTATGGCAAAATTAAAAATTAAATATGGTTTATAATATGTATTAAAATTATAAAAATTTGGTAAAATTTGTTAGTTTTCTCATGATACCGTAGAGTATGGCATTAAAAAACCTTTTATTAGGTTATATTATTTCTCAGTTTCGTAATTTTCACTATATGTGTGGTAATAAGAGCTGTAATTTTGATAACCAGGATTTCCGGTAAACCGTTACCATATGAACGGAGAAATTATCAAATGGATGGTTTAAATGCCACACATTATGGTTTGTATTATCAGAATAATGTTCGTTTTTTTTACCAGAAATGTCATCCTCATACAGTACGGTTACCAGAATTTTTTTCACTGTGCAGTTATGGGAATTTAATGAAAGAATAAATTCAAAGCTAAGAAATATTTGTCTTGGTAAAAAATAAGTTAATGCTCAGTCCGATTCGTTAATGATGTCCGTTCACAATATACACTAATGTCTCAAAATTGAGCAAAAATGTGTCAAAATAGCTCAGATTCAAATATTAGTTGAATTTGAAGCAAATATTGATCAAAATTGAAACAGCATATACTCATTGAGTTAAATGCTCAAAAATGATGGGTAAAATGCTATAGTTGGCTACCTGTAGGATTCGAAACAATGAACGCCGGATTCATACAAGTGAATGAGATCGCCACTCAAGAAAAGCTGGTTAAATAATAAGAATAAATAAATAAATTAATCATAAGTATTGTTTTTTTGGTCAAAAAAGTATAAAAAATAATATAAAATAAAGAATTAACGCAATGTTCAAATTAATATCATTGCATAATTCATACTAAGTGGTATTCGGGCCTGGAATGTGACTTTTTGTTACAGCAGGTGTTACTCCAGAAATATGTAAGTTTACTTTCATAATTTTTATTGAAATTTCATGTTTTTAGAAGTTTGAAAATCATTTTTCTTCATTAACTCTGTAAGTAATTACTACTACAGTAGCCAGTAAGCCTATACTAAAAATTGAATATTTTTGAAAAGATTAAAGAGACACAAAGATCACTGATTTTGTGATCACCGTTTTGGAGAATATTGCATGCGTCTTGTCATGCTCAATGAAGTGGCTTATCAAAGAAAAACAAAAAATAATGGGGAATCTCAGATTTCCTTAGTGAAAGTGGGTGGCACTCAAGAAAAGCTGGCTAAATAATAATAATAAATCAATAAACTGCTCATAAGTATTGTTTTTTTAGTCAAAAAAGTATTATTATAATATTATTATTATTGCATCATCATTGCATCATTATTGCATTATTATTGAATTAACATAATATTATTATTATTGCATCTTTCAAACTAAGTGGCGTTTACTTCCGTAATGTGACTTTTTATTACAGCAGGTGTTACTTCAGAAATATGTAATTTTACTTTCGTTATTGTTAGTGAAATTTCATGTTTCTAGAAGCTAGAAAACCATTTTTCTTCTTTAACTCTGTAAATAATCAGTGCAACAGTAGCTTTAAGCATTTATTAATAACTGAATTTTTCAACTAATTTTTACATTTTAATTGCAATAAAAGGAGCTTCCCTCTTTCATTTTAAGGAAAAAAGCCTATGCAGAACCAGGAAATGAAATTGATGAAAATGTAAAAAGGCATATATAGTATTTTTTTTTCTATTTTGTAACGCTACAATGCTAATTTTTCTGTTTTGTAATGTTTCGTTTCATGCAAAAAGGTCATAATAAATCAGTAATCAGTTAAAAACTTTTGTGGATAATTACGTCTACCCTTTAAAAATGTTACCACAACTGTAGTAAAGTTGTAAATCTTACGATACTCTGAATTTTTTACTTATGTAGTAGCAAAATAATTACGTAAAATAAATATACCAAACTAAAATTAATTTAAAATTCAGTACCACTAAAAATATTTTTTTACTAAACGGAGTGGCAACTCTGGAATTATTAAAAAATATACGTGATTTTTTATAATCATTTTCGTTGAAAATAAAAAAAACATAAATTAATTTTTTTTTAAATTTCTGAATAAAAAAGAAAATAGAATTTTTAAAACGAAGTTTTCAAAAATTAATTTACTGGTCAACTACTAGTGTAATGTATCTATAAAATATAATCATTTATTATTATTGTATATTCATTTATTATTGAACAAGTCGTTTAATCATTTGGTAGATCAATCAAAGGATTTGTTGAAGTTACTTCTCAACTCAAAAAAGTTGAAGGAACCTATAATAAGAAAATTAATCCATATTAGACAAAAAATCATTAGAATACATTTTTTTGTGTATATTTTGCTGAAAAGTGTATCGAATATTAATATTCTATATT